TATAAAAAATATATATTATTTATTGGATTTTATTTTGTTTTTCACTATTCTATTTCAAAATATTTTACTAAATAACAATATGCCTTAACCAACAAAAAGAAGCTTAAAATTTAATATTTTATTTAATCTAAATAAGGCAAATTAAAATTGAMAGCAAATTTATTGCTCAAAGCTTTTAAAGCAAGAGCAGCAAAAGAGACGAGAGAACAGAATGCACTGAAAAATAAACCAAAACAAAACAAACCCAAAACAAGTAATATATAAAATCTAATCAACTCACGTCACGCTGGGAGAGCGTAAAGCTCGCTCAGCACGCCATCGAAATATGAGAACGAGGGAATTAATTAATAACACATCTATTCAAATTTTTTGAACAGCGCTCGCTTCATTCAGTACACAAAATGCTGTCGAAGCATTTGGGTGGAAAGCTCAGCGCTCGCCTCTTCAAAGTCGAGAGGGCGTTTGCCACAAAGGTATAGGTACTCATAGATATATTATATATAATATAATCAATCTATAACGAAGACCCAATACAGGTTTCTGCTGCAGCTGTAGATGCCATTCCTCTGGAGCAAGCCAAACCCTACTCGGAGCTTCCGGGTCCCAGCAAATTCGAGTTTGTGCGATCTTTTCTGCCAGGCGGTGAGTGAGCGAAAGCTCTTTAAGAGCTCCTCTCTCTAAGTTCCTCTCATCTACTATGCGCTCTTTCAATATATCTCTCTTCGATTCAACTTTTCTGTCTTATCACCGACCAATCGCAGGTCGCTATAAGAATGTTGCGGTGCACGAAATGTTTCTGGATATGAACAAGCGCTATGGCGACATATTTCGTATGCCTGGCGTGGCGGGCAATGACATTGTGATTACCTTGAATCCGGTGGACTATGCCACGATCTTTCGCAACGAGGGACAGTATCCGTATAGACGCAGCTTCGAGACCATGGATTATTTCAAAAGAGTCCACAGACGCGATATATTCGAGGGCGCTGACGGTTTGACTTCCGGGTGAGTTGCAGGAGAAGATAAGCGAGCTCTTGGCTCTGATTGGCATATCTCTCTGCTTAGCAATGGCCCCGCTTGGAGCAAGATGCGAACTGCTGTCAATCCGATCCTGCTGCAGCCGCGGAACGCCAAGCTCTATATAAGCAACTTGCTACACGTGAACGATGAGTTCCTGGAACGGTAAGCTGCAAGATCTTGGGTCTAAGTTCTCTCGACTGATAATGGAAGTTTTTCCCTGGCAGCATTCGAGCCATTAGAGATCCGAGTACTCAAGAGATGCCAGCTGACTTTGGCGAAGATATTCGTCGCCTAGTCCTGGAGTCCATTGGATCCGTGGCGCTCAATACGCGCCTCGGCCTGCTCGGCGAGAACCGGGAGAGTGAGGAGGCGAAGCAGTTGATTAAGGCTTTGGAGAACATACTTGAGCTGAGTTTCCAATTGGACATCATGCCGCCGATCTGGAAGTATATGCCAGTGCCCATGTTCAAGAAGCTGATGCGCTCCTTGGACACCATTACAGACATTTGCTACAACCACGTGCAGCAGGCGCTGCACCGCATCGAGGAAGACGCGCGGGCGGGCCGCCTCACCACTGAGCCGGGGCAGGAGGCTAGCATATTGGAAAAGCTGGCGCACTTTGATCGCAAGGCGGCCGTGATCATTGCCATGGACTTATTCTTTGCCGGCGTGGATCCAGTGAGTGCCTCAAATCCATGTCGAATTCCGCAATTAAAGGTTCCATCTCTTCAATCCTCCATTTCAGACCCTTGTCAGCCTGACTGGCACTCTGCTGAGCCTAGCCAAGAATCCTGAAAAGCAGGCCCGTCTGCTGGAGGAGATCAGGCTTGTGCTGCCCGAGAAGAGCTCCGAGCTAACCATGGAGAACATGGCCCATTTGCCCTATCTGCGTGCCTGCATCAAGGAGGGCATTCGCATGTATCCCATCGGCCCTGGAACCCTGCGCCGCCTGCCGTGCGACGTGGTGCTCAGTGGCTATCGGATCGTGGCTGGCAAAGATGTGGGCATGGCTGCCAACTACCAGATGGCCAACATGGAGCAGTTTGTGCCGCGGGTGCGCGAGTTCCTGCCGGAGCGCTGGCTGCGCGACGAGAACAACGCGAGTCTGGTGGGCGACACGGCCACGCCCTTCATGTACCTGCCCTTCGGCTTCGGGCCACGTGCCTGCGCCGGCAAGCGCATCGTGGACATGCTGCTGGAGATAGCCGTGGCCAGGCTGGTGCGCAACTTCCAAGTGGGCTTCGACTATCCCATTGAGAACGCATTCAAGGCCCAGTTCTTTGTGAAGCCCAACATGCCGTTCAAGTTCAAGTTTGTGGAGCGCTCCATGTAATACCCTCACATATATACATAAATATAAAAGAACCGCTTAGCCATGATAGCTCCAACATATGGCAAGGAAACACCCTCAGCAGCTCCTTCAGAGCCAAGAGTTCCAGCCTCTCAAGAGCTCCAGTTCCAGCTCTCGCCCAAGCGTCCCCCTCAGCCCAGCCTTGCAGCAGCTACTTGACTCAATTGATTTGCTCGCTGGCCCACTTCCCACATCCCACATCCCACAGCCACAACACATCGCCGGCTCCTGCGGATCTGTCAAGTGCACTTGTCTGTGCCCGCAAAGGAACAAGCACTTGACTGCCTTTCGAATCTTAACGTGTCTGTGACGTGGCGTATCATGGGCCCTGCCTCCTGTGTGGCATCTGAAGAACATTTAACGATCTGAACTCAAGTGCGAAACTATGTGCTAATGCCCTTGAGTTGTGTGCTCTAAATGGGTGTTATCTTGGGTCCATACTAACATTGAGGCGGATCATAATGAAATAGTTTATCTTGTCCACATATTTAATTAAAGTTTGGTTTAATATTGCGTTTCAGTGTTAATTTTAAATAATATAAGTAATTTTGGTATATTGTCGGTTGAATATTTTCACCAATTATTTTGTTTAATTGCTATTTGTAAATACTGTTGTATATAACATAAATAATTTTAGGTTTAGATTTATTTTATAGAAAGAAATTCGTCATTATTATCAAATTTATTATTATTTATTTATTTCAAAGCTCACCCAACTATTAGCGATTTCCTAACTTTACTATATGTATATAATATATGGTATACTTTAGGGCTGCAGCAATAAAATGGTTTGTGACTTTGACGTACAATATTAATAAAATTTGTTAAATGTGGTGGATCCGATTTTTAATAGAATTGCATAAGACAATTGTAAATTAACAATTGCGAAAACCTCATAATTTTATTTATTTATTTAGTAAAATGTAATATTTAAAAATATTAAAAAACATAGCTGTTTTATTTATTCAACAAAAGATTCGGTTTATGAATCGAAACTATATATATTTATACTAACACTTTAAGCATGAAGGAAATACACATCGAAAGGTATTTATTAAAAAATTGTTATGAGCACATTAAAAAATTTTATTTTGAGTATATTGGTTTAATTAAAGTACAATTACTTGGTAGAAGGATACGTGGAAGAACTGTCTAAGTACATGTATTTCTGATCATCACTAACACAGCCTTAAGGTCATATATCAAATTAGCATCTTTCTGAATCTTCAATGATAGAATTGACAGCATTCTTCACTTGCTCAGATGCAGTCGGCATAAACACTGGGAAGCACGAGATGCCGGCTCTTACGAAAAATCTCATCTTAAATTCTGCTTTTACAAATATAAACTCAACTGGCGCTCTTTTACAATTATAACGAACTGAATTGCTCTTGATTTTTTATCCACAGATCTGAATAGAGGATTATCAGTATATAATATATATTGCTATTAGAAAAACCTCAACATGAGCCACCTTTATTATTTTTGTTTAAACTAGCTCAGAGATCCCAAACCTCAAATATATGTAAACTATTTGGAATTCCCTTCTAATGCATGAAGAAGGCCCTTCTATAGAGCCTTTGATCAATGGAAATGTATTCGGTTAAATGCAATTATTTATTATTATTTGAATAATATTATTTGGATACCTCCCAGCAAGAACTACAACATATGTGGTAGGGCACTCCTCAGTTAACAGAAGTTGAATGAAATTTACTGAAAACATAAATTTCGTGTTTAAACGGATTTGTCATTTGCTGGAGCAAACACAATTTAATTCATTTAACTCTTAAAGTCGCTTTCATTTCTCAGTGGACTCTTGCTGAGAGTTCATAAACTTTTTGTGTTTGTTTCTTTTTCTTCAGCTGCTTCGTTATCGGAACAACAAATAAATGCGCTGGCATAAATAATGCAAAAGTATTCATTTTGACATCGAATAGACATAGTCGCATTTCCCAGCTACGTTTTGCTGCTGGCTCTGAGTCTCGCCACCTTTCCTGCTGCCCGGAGAGCTTTGCCGTTCTCATTGTTGTTGTTGTTGTTGACGATGGCTGTACGAGTGCTTGGGCGGAACTTGGACAGTCCGGGTCTTATCTTTGCGCACTCCGCCGTAGCCGTTGCCGTTGCCGTTGCTGTTGCCATCGCATCGCATCGCAGTTCTCGTATGTCCTGCATTTTATGCCACTTTACGCTGGAGTCGTCGTCTTGTGCATTATTAAAACTATGTTCTCTGCTGGCGCCAGTCCTGCTGAACCGCCTCCGAGGAGCACCTCCAGCGAGCGCACCACTTGAACTGTCAATGCTGGCCGTTGCAGTGCATAAACTTTTATCGTGTCCTGGGAGGAGACGGGAGAAGGCGAGTGTGTCTCAGCCTGAACTGTGCCCAGGACGATGGCAGACAAACAAAATGAATGGAATTCATTATTCGATAGCTGGGCGCAGTCGAAGGCGAAGGCGGAGGCGGAGGCGGAGGCGGGGCAGAGGCACTCTTAAAGCTGTTGCTAAATTGAAAATGCATGTCAAATATCAGACTCACACACAAATCACAGTGAAGAGCTCCAAACTAGAGGCGCAGCTCGCATATTGCTGTTGCATGTTGCATGTGGCATGTGGCATGTGGCATGTCTCGTTGCCTGCTTTTAGGTGGATCGGCATGCATTTGCACTTTATGACATGCAGCCTCCCATAAACTGAGCAATTAGACATGTCCAGCACACACACACACATACAGAGAGTGCAGTAACATCTTGACAATCGGAATTTGGCTTTCGCATTGAACTTTGACCGGGCTGCTGCTCGAGCCTGTGACAGGACACGGCCGTCCATTGCCGAGCTGCCAATTTGCAGTGCTGGCAACAGGACGGGCGTGGCCAACGGACCACGTCTAATGATGGCATACATAACCTGCCTGCAGCCAGGCTTTGACCTGCCTTTGGTCTGACTCGAGCCGTGCCCACGCCCACCGGCCACCGCCCACGCCTCCTGGCCGTGTCCCTGGCTCCCTTGCAAGTGTCATGTCACAACGCACTCGGCTAGCTTGTCAATTTCGCAGCTGGGCGTGGCTGTGCATGGGCACGAGCATGACTTGAGCCCCAGTGCCAGGCATTAGCATGTGAAGGCAAACTTTAAAGCAACAAAAAAGAAACAGTAGAAAAATAAGGCAACATTGCAGCGCAGGACAATCAGTAGACAGACGACGAGCGACGATGACGCTGACTGCCTGCTCCCGCACCCTCCCCCTCCCAGTCACACTCCGGCCTGTGACCCGCCCTGACAGGCGTCCATGATTAATGGTTGTCAATGGCATGTTGTTATTGTTGCTGCTCCTGCTCCTGCTGCTGTATCCTGGCTTGGGCTGCATATAAAAAGTAATTTTGTTATTTTAAGAAAACACCCAAGGACTAAGGCTCGGTGGCTCGATGGCGGCCTTCTTTCGTTTCGTTTCGTTTCGTTTTGCAGGAAATTGATTCGCCGTCGCATGCGGCGCACTCTTTTCCAGGCCGTTGCCGCAGGAATTCCCCAACTGGCAGCCAACAGTCGCGTAATTTCGCAACCTTTTGCGCCCCGCCAAGCGACTTTGGCTGGTTGCCGTCGACTCACCGCCTCTCCCCTCCTTCCTGCCAGGGCCCAGCTTCCGCCCACGCATTGACTGTGATAATGGCACTGGCAATGGGGCTGCAGACGGGGAACGCAGCAAATTTAATTTATTATTTCGAAGAGCTAAAGCATTTCTAATCGAATTGTATTCTAAATACGCCACGCATACGAAATTGAAAAATTGAAAAATTATCCCCGATTCTATTGAGTTGCTCATTGCTGTTGTTGCTGTTGTGTATATCGCTTGACTGCCTGTTAGTTAAATAAAATAAAAAATTTGAATTGTTCGCTTGGTCTATTGCATTACGGTTTGCTGGGGAAATTGCGGTTATCGGATTGTTGACATTAATGATGTGCCTGTGTAAAGAGGAGTCAAGATAGAGAGAGAATGAGGACGGAAGAGAGAGAGAGAGAATGTTGGCGTAGTTAAAAAATTAAAGTATTTCTGAAGTTCTCTTACGATTGTAGTCTGAAATTAAAAAGCCCTTGAATTAATTTCTTGATAATATATGTATAAATCCACTAACCCAGTTAACCCACCTGTTTTTTGAATTACCTATTAGAGCTAAGGACTTGAAATAACTGTACCAGTTGAATATCATGTTTCTTGAACTAATTGGTAGAATTTCGTTTTCAAAAAATCTTTAACTTTATCTAAATATTCAATTAAAATATTAGTTCACATAAATTTAAAACGATAAAAAATAGATTTTAATTAAAATATAACAGTATATAAAGGACTCTGGGGCTTACATAAGCGGTTGCGTTTTTAATATGTATTTTAGATCAAATGCATATGCATATACATGTCATAGGCCTACACTTATGTCCTCAAAACGTTGACAGTAAAGATATTGCAGACCTACTCTTAAGATTAACTAAAATTATATATTGAGAAAGAGCTAAGCCATTGATCTGAAGTCGCAAATTGTTGATAAGGTTCAACATCAGACTCTAGTATAGTTCATCTGCCTTAGGGTCCATCTTTATGCATTTATGCAATCTCAAGTCTTTATAATAGACTTGATTTTACTATTGCATTGAAAATCATGTTTGTTGCAATAAATCAAATCTCAAATTTCACAAAGTACTTCAAACTAAAGCTTAGTTGCTCGTATGTATATATATTCAGTATATCACGTATTTTGAACTGTCACTTATTCAATAGAACATGTAGATCCCAATGTCTTGGACATATGTATGTCCACAAAAAGTTGGCAGCAAAGCTATTGCTGATCTATTCTTAAAATTGACTAAAATTTGATAAAAAGGCACATTAAAAATGTAGCTTATTCATTGAGCAAAAGTTTACAAATTTTATTGTCTGATTATTCTATTCATCGATAATAAAAATTACAAGTTTCATCAATCAAATTGGATTGTAAATAGAGTAGTTGACTGAT